GGGTATAGTCTCACTGTACCGAGCACTAGCAATCTATTAAAAGAGCAGATGTCTTCAAATTTAACATTCAGCAGAGGCGCTTGCGACTTCCAATAAATCACCATGTAAGCAAGCTAACGCAGAGGTAGCGATGTAGCCAAAGGGGGGGGGGGGGAACAAAGCATTGCAATTAGTTTTCCCAGGACTTGTGCGGTGGCTTTAACACTTTGCAAACTTTTACGAGACAAGATTACAGCTCGTACATTTTTGGGATGGTTTAATTTCCTCGCTGCGTATGGCTGCACAGGGGGTTCAAAGCCCTTTCAGACGGGGGCTGTTCCTGCTTGTATTATACAGGAGTGGAGGATTAAGCGGGAGTGAAATGAGTCCCTCAACGTATGCATTGAGTCAAACTGATAACAACCCCCCCTCGCTCAAGCATGGCCTGCCTTCATTCCATTTCTATAGCCGTCACAGTCTACTGCGTCGCAATACACCTTAACGGACCCTCATGAGTTAACTGATGAAATAAGAAAAGTGATAATAAAAGCTAAAACCTCACATAGATTTGATTTTATGTGAACACTGGAAATCTAAAGTTTGTTGTGCACATGAGGCAGCGTCTGGTTATTATGAAGACGCATGCTCAAAAGGATTTTGTACATTCTGTGCTTGCTCCGACTCACCAGGTCGCTTCAAGTGTTTCCAATTATTTGATCTGATTACCATGATCATGTTGTGACAGTCTGCATCGCAGTGTGTGGAACTAAATGCTAATTTCTTCAACAAAACTGGTTAGATATTAGAAACTCCCAAGCTGTGCCCCCCTTTTTTTCCTTTTCTTTTACCCAGAGTGCAAGGTGACTGGTTGGTTGGTTGTTCATGTCATTACTTATGAGGTTCACTTCATGATAACTTATCTCGCACGCACTCAAAAAAAAGGGACTGGGTGAGCTCAGCAAAGTGTCACTTTGAATCAGCGGTGGGGGGACGGCGAGAGTCCTGGCCTGAGCCAAGGTGCAGCTGCAGATGTTGCTCTGCATAAGCAGAGCACACACCCCCCCCCCCCTGAACTCGCCCGCTCTCTGGAGTCCTGAAAGATTACTATAATGTGATGCATGTCAGATGTTGTTTGGTTTTTTCCGAGTTGTAGGAGTTTCACAGCTGCCTCCTTCAAAGGAAGAAAACGTAGCAGGAAGAAAATGCAGAAAACAGATGGAAGAAAACAATCTGTGTCTCCGGTATCAACATGTAAATACAAGCTCCTCCGAGGACAGGAGCGTCTTTTTGTGCATATAAATCTAGTGGTTATTTAAACGTGCATATTGGGATTACATTTTTTTTTTGCAAATTGGCACCATGAATTGTTTGCGGGATGAGCCATTAGAAGCCATGAGATGAATAAAACAACTACCACTGGATTAATTAGAGGCTAAACAAAACTTCAGAGCATGAAAGGCAAGTTCTGAATATCATTTATTTGAAATGGGTTTTATGGATGTTTGCTTTGAAAGAACCTCAGAGATAGATTTATTCTTTGAAAATATTAGTCACACTGAATTTAAAATTATGTGTATGGTGTCTGTGTGTTAATATTTGACTGGTTTATGCCTCTAGCGACGGGTCCCATTTTTGAAGACTCGCTACCAAGTGAAGGGGGGGGGGACTAATTCACATAGGAGGGGGCAAACTGAGTATATCAATTCAATTCAATTCTAAAAACTTTATTTGTCCCCGGGAGGCAATTCAAGGGCACACAGAGCAGTAAATTAACAACAGTGCAAGTAAACAAAACATTTTAACCTGAATATAAAGTGTCAATTTAAATACAACTTAAAGCTTAAACTTAACTTAAAAAGACAAAATATAAAAGAGTAGATATAAGTGGACGGTGATCGGACTAACAGATGTAAACATAACTATGTGCAGTATAGAGGGTATGCACTGATGTCACTTTTCCTCCTGACCACGCCCCCTCTGATGTCAGCGAAAGATTCAAAGACAACACTGAGATGGCAAAAAAACAGGCGGAAAAAGTATCCGCTTACATTTGAACTCTTCAGATATCTGAACTATTTACGTCTGTGGACATTTACATATGGTCAGAAATTGGCTTTCCTGACTTTTATGAACCTTTGTCGAAAGCCCACAACATGATCCTACACAGGGCAGAGCATGAAGACAGCTGGGTTCGATCGCTGATGGATGTAAAACTGAATCGACTTTGTAGTCAGAGTGTAGGGCTACGGCTGTTTCTCTGCATGTCAGTGATCCAAAAAACATCATCTGCTGAGTCATCATCTTTCTTTTACTGTTTGACTGATCTGCTCAGATTTTAAAGAGGACATATTATCCCCCTTCTCCACCCTTTCAAACAGTCCCATGTGGTCTGAATGAAACATCTGTGCTGAGCTTTGATCAAAATATAACATGAATCAAGCACCAGAGGAGGTTTTTGACCCTGTTTAAACCAGCTCTCTCAGAACGCTCCGTTTTGGTGTGTGTGTCTCTTTAAATGCAATGACCCCCCCTCAGTTTTCCCCGCAGACATCACTCCTCTGTAGCGAGAATAAAAATGGCGGACCTGCACAATAGTTTTGTTCTCGGCGGGAGGTGGAGTCCACATGTGGAGACATCAGGGGAGGGGAGGTTTTTAATTTTTACCAGAATCCCACTGTGACATCACAAGGAACTTTTTCCCTGAATTAAACAGACGGGTGAAAATGGGAGGAGGGAGAGTGAAGCGGGTTCAGATTATATTCATCACTGACTGAATGAGCGTTTCCTCTGACTTAAAGCAGCTTACTGCTCACCTTTTATTGATTTCTGCCACTCACTGGCTCCAAGTGAAGTGACTCCGCCCACCATGACATCATGTGCGTACCCTACAGCAGCCTACAGTGCAGAGTAATTGCTCCACAGTCTTAAATCAGAAAGAGTTATAATATATCATGTCTTTTTTTTGTTTTTAGACTTGGACAACAATTTTAAGAATGGTTTTCAGTATTTAAATCCTGATTTTACCTGACATCCTTTATTTAATCCTCTCTCAGAAACCATCCTGCTTTGACGAAGATCCACTCTGTTTTTCATTCACTAAAAACCACACAAACAACCACCGGCTCCAGCTTCTAAAATCAGACTATTTTCTGGCTTTCTGGTGCAAAAAAATTGGATGTCAGCCTGTTGGTTTGGACAAAAACGAAGCATTTGAAGATGTAGCCATGGGAACTTTTAGAATCTGTCTTGGCCATTTTTATAATTTTTTAAAAATAAAGATCAAACAATACATTGAAATATCAATAATACAAAGTAAGTGATTTCTTCTTACACATAGGAAATAAAAATATAGAGAGGAAATTCTCACTTTTTCCCATTGCAGTAGTTCTTGTTTGGTTTAGGAAGGCTGCTTTTTTTCCTGTAAAATGTAACATATGACTTCCTGTTTACATCCATGGAGGAGCTGAGAACGAAAACAACTCATGTATTGGTATTAGTTGATCACTGGGAAATTCTTTTCGATCTTTTGTGTATGAAAAAGCTCGATATGTTAAGTAGAAAAAACAAACATTTGATGCCAAGACACTATTGTGAGGAACTGTTCACTGTGCTACAAATATTGTCTTCAGAATAAAACAATAAACTAAATTATTTATCGAGACAACCAACCACCAAAAGTTGCAGCTGTTTCTTACAGAGGACAAAACAAGTGCCTGTCTGATGAAAGAATTTGAGGTCTATCGCTTTAAAAAAAAAATGTCATTTTATGCACCTTTTTTCCAATAAAATAAACAATTCAAACCAGATGTGAAAATATTTTTCCATCGCATCAGACGCTCGAGCGAATGAACAAAAATCTGAAATTCAATGAATCTGAAAATGAATCCACAAGTGGAAGGTGTTTTTGTTTTTTTCCACTTAATCCCCCCCCCCTTCCCCTTCCCTTGGATACAGAGTACAACAACAATACAGCTGCGTAATGAGGCTCCACTGCAGAGAAGGGAACGGCTCCTCTAAGGATTGAGGTTAATAAAATTAAAGGCACTTTTCTGTGTGTCACCTCAGCAGCATGCGAGTGAGGGAACGAGATCTGTCTGCAGGACGTTTCTCTTATTCAAACACTGAACACGCCCCACAGTGTGTAATTGCTCTGCAGGTGTTAAGAGCTTAAACTAATGATGTTTTTTAGCACATGCCTGTTTGAGGTCATTAAAAAAGTCATGCAGCACAGATTCGGGGGATTGCTGTGAATTATTTAGCAGAAGCTTAATTTCCTCCATGTTCTGCAGCAGTGGTAAAAAAAACTATTAAATAAGAAGTCTATCGCCCACGCTCAGACTTCATTACCCTATCAGCCCTTCTTTTTTTTCCACAGCTGTCCTGATAGCAGGCAAAAGCTCAATGGGTCTTATCTCCTCTGGTGTGTGTGTGGGGTTTTAATCTCCTCAGCTTGTAAACCAGCAATTTTGGGAACTGCAAAGAATAAAATTCAGTGCTAAAGAAAAACACTGAATGTGGCATTATCGACAGGAAGAGATGCAGCAGCAAATTGGGCAGCTTGGTGATTGATTGCTGAGTTACTTGATATCAAAAAAACTCCTTATCATTATTATGCTAAATAAACCAGTGAGGTAGAAGAATGAGTCGGTTCGGAGGCATCCAGTGAATCAAATTGCATTTTAAAGCAGGTTATCAGTCATGGTTGGCAGCTTGTAATTAGTGGTAAACAACATTATTAAGCTAAAGTCAGAGCTGGCTACATGTTTCCCTATACCAAGAGAAAACATTTTAAATATTTAAAAAAATAGAAAATAAAAAAAAAGCTATTTTAAATAATTTAAGACATATTCAAAAATAGTGTAACAAAAAAAAAACACTAACTATTAGGCGACAACACCTCTTCTGTACGGGGTTTCCCTGTCTGACACCACTTTGCAAGCATTTAAATAAGTAATAAACCCCTGCATGGATGATTTAGTGGAGACACAATTAAGGGGGGGGGGGGGGTGATGAATTCTTACCTTTGACTCTGGCTGACGGTCTGGAGACGACTGAGCCGTTGTTGCAGCTGGTGTTAAAGTCGGTCACGTCCACGCTGAGGTTCCCCTGCTCCACGCAGCCCACCATCCCCCCCGCCGCGCTCACATTCACCGGCGTCGGCAGAGCCATCCTCTCTCGTGCTATCACACCTGTACGCGCTGTTTCAAACTGGAAGCCGCGGCTGGAAAATCAACTTGCAGCCGTGGCGTTTTTCTTCATAACAGCAGGGGGAAAAGTGCTGCGAGAGAAAAAAAAGCCCAAGCAGGAGTTGAGTGGTTTAAAAACCCTTTCCACGAAGGACAACCACAGTGTGGCAGGTTAATTGATGAAGTAACGCGAGAGGAAACCCCGCGAAGCGCAGTGCTGCGTTCACTGCACCGAGTGTGAAGGAATGAAGCCGCGCTGCTAAGGCAACTGAGCAGCTCTCTCTCTCTCTCTCTCTCTCTCTCTCTCTCTCTCTCTCTCTTTTCACACATACACACTCCCTCTCTTTTTTTTCCATTCAACTCACGACTGCCACTGTACAACTTATTCAAAGCAGCTCATTAGGCGAACTATATCTGCCTTCATCTGCTAAATGTATGAAAAATATGTGCTGATGGCAGTGATGGATGCTCTAGGCTATGACAAACTCAACATGAATTATGACTGCTGCTCACCTGGTGTGTTTGTACATCTGTCAGCTTATTGTTGGCTCTTGGTCTGACAATGCTCTTTTGATGTGTTATTCACTTGTATTTAATTTAAAGAGCTATTAAAAAAGCTTAAGACTGAAAACTTGTGCTTATTAGAGAATATATTTTTGGCTAAACCTACATTCATAAAGGAGCTACCTGGTAAATGAAATGCATCTTGTGCATGTATTAAATTCACATTATCGTATCATAATAACATACAGTTGCAGGAAAAAGTATGTGAACCCTTTGGAATTTATTAGTTTTCTGATTAAATTGGTCATAAAATGTGTTCTGATCTTCATCTAAGTCTCAACAATAGACAAACACAGTCTGCTTAAACTAATACCACACAAACAATTATATGTTTTCATGTTTTTGTTGAACACAACATGGAAACATTCACCGTGCAGGGTGGGAAAAGTATGTGAATCCCTAGGCTAATGACTTCTCACAGAGCTAATTGGAGTCAGGAGTCAGCCAACCTGCAGTCCAATCAATGAGACGAGATTGGAGGTGCTGGTTAAAGCTGCTCTGCCCTATAAAAAACACACTCCAGTTTCGAGTTTGCTACTCTCAAGAAGCATTGCCTGATGTGAACCATGCCTCGCACAAAAGAGCTCTCAAAAGACCTACGATTAAGAATTGTTGACTTGCATAAAGCTGGAAAGGCTTACAAAAGTATCTCTAAAAGCCTTGATGTTCATCAGTCCACGGTGAGACAAATTGTCTATAAATGGAGAAAGTTCAGCACTGTTGCTACTCTCCCTAGAAGTGGCCGTCCTGTAAAGATGACTGCAAGAGCACAGCGCAGAATGCTCAATGAGGTGAAGAAGAATCCTAGAGTGTCAGCTAAAGACTTACACAAATCTCTGGCACATGCTAACATCTCTGTTGACGAATCTACGATACGTAAAACACTAAACAAAAATGGAGTTCATGGTGAGGACACCACGGAGTAAGCCACTGCTGTCAAAGAAAAACATTGCCGCACGCTTGATGTTTGTAGAAGGAGGACCTGGATGTTCCCACAACACTACTGGCAAAACATCCTGTGGACAGATGAAACCAAAGGTGAGTTCTTTGGAAGGAACACACAACACTGTGTGGAGAAAAAAGGCACAGCACACCAACATCAAAACCTCATCCCAACTGTGAAGTATGGTGGAGGGGGCATCATGGTTTGGGGCTGCTTCGCTGCATCAGGGCCTGGACAGATTGCTATCATCGACGGAAAAATGAATTCCCAAGTTTATCAAGACATTTTGCAGGAAAACTTAAGGCCACCTGTCCACCAATTGAAGCTCAACAGAAGATGGATGATGCAACAGGACAACGACCCAAAGCACAGAAATAAATCAACAACAGAATGGCTTCAACAGAAGAAAATACGCCTTCTGGAGTGGCCCAGTCAGAGTCCTGACCTCAACCCGATAGAGATGCTGTGGCATGACCTCAAGAGCGATTCACACCAGCCATCCCAAGAATATTGCTGAACTGAAAAAGTTTTGTGAAGAGGAATGGTCCAAAATTCCTCCTGACTGTTGTGCAGGTCTGATCTGCAACTACATGAAACGTTTGGTTGAGGTTATTGCTGCCAAAGGAGGGTCAACCAGTTATTAAATCCAAGGGTTCACATACTTTTTCCACCCTGCACTGTGACTGTTTACATGTTGTGTTCAACAAAAACATGAAAATATATAATTGTTTGTGTGGTATTAGTTTAAGCAGACTGTGTCTGTCTATTGTTGAGACTTAGATGAAGATCAGAACACATTTTATGACCAATTTATGCAGAAAACTAGGAAATTCCAAAGGGTTCACATACTTTTTCCTAATTGACATTCATCAATATGTGCTTAAAATTGGCCTGTTCTGAGGGGCGGCTGTGGCCCAGTGGTGGACTCCTGCAGCCAATCATCCAGACACTGGGCAAGACACTTGACCCCAAATCGCTCCGGTTGCTGCACCAGTGGCATGTGGACTGATCAGTTTGTGAATGGGCCTGCAGTATAATAACATCTCTGAATGGTCAAAAGACTAGAAAAGCTCAAGTAGCATTTAGCATTCTGCATATTTTCTCTCCTGAGAGTTGAAATACTGGACGATTTTGACCTTTTATTGGACTGACTTTGGTTTTCTTTGGTCCATATTTTTAAGAGACACTTGGATGGACACTTACAAATATACAATAAATTGTGTTTTTTAATTGTCATGATAAACATGTGATCTCAGTGAAGATGTAGAAAAGGGGGCCTTGGGGTGGCTCCTCAGCTCAGATCTCACTCAGGGCCATGAAAAAGCTTAGGCCGCCCCTGATCACCTGCCAAGTCCTCCAAAGTCTTCATCCCCAATTAAAATGTTCAGTGTCACTTGTTTTGTTAGAATTGATCATCCATGAATTATGATGTCCTAGTTTGACAAAAAACAATCCCAGAACAATCTCGTTTTCTCGAGGAATGGATGCTGTTGTCTTGTGAAAAAACCTTCAGGTCTCGTAAGCTGTCAGAGGGTATCATCAGTGTGACAAAGAGCCACAATTCTGCAAGCTCTTGAGGAGAACGTGTGCAATTTGTTTCCCTGAATTGTCCAGTGATCTAAGACAGAAGGACAGTCATGTGGTTGGAGGTGAATAGAAATTGATGTCTTTTGTTTTTTTCCGTGTTGAATGCCTCTGACTTGTCAGTGCTTGTTGTTTAAAAATTTTCAAACTGGAAAATGTTTTGGAGACTTGCTCAGTGGAACAACTGTAAAAAAAATTCCATTTGGCTATTTGGCCAACTCGCAGGAGTAAGGTGAGAGGTTCATGGACTCCTGATGGGCAGCAGGATGGCTAAGTTCATCGGGAAAGTACTTCAGAAGGCCTTTGGGTTAAGTTAATGTTTTATAGCTTGAGAAATTACGTCGACTTTAGAAAATGTCTGGAGGCTGCGGGGGAGGAGAGTTGGGTTGCACTGTGGGGGAGGAGAGTTTAACTATTTGTGTTTGTCATATGTTCGGTGGTTGTCAGTCCTTTTGATGGTTTTTACAAGTGTTGCTGCCGCTGTTGTTTCTGCTTTTAAAACTGCGTTTGTGTGGGAGGTGTGTGTTGCTCTAGCTTGGCTAACATGTGCTGGTGTTTCTTCCACATTTTTAAGATAAAAAGACTTCAAAGTGGAGACAAAAGTCTCTCCCTTCAGCCCTCTTTCAAATCTCCAGTGCTGTGATTTCAGCGGCTGCTCCATTTTGATTTTCACTGTATCAAGGTCCACACAGGTCAAGACCAGCATGACTGATGAGAGGGGGAACTCAAATTCAGACACCCCAGGGTGTTAGAACTTCAGGCTCCAGTAGATACATTTTGATTTAGCATGACTTAAAGTTGTTGTGTAAAAACCTACTGAAGCAATGGCAACATACTTTGAACGACAGTGCACCCATTTTAAAAATTCATGGAAGCCCCAGGAAAGCTCTGTGAATGCTAATGAACCTTCAACATTGGTTTTCGCAATAGCACTGCTTGGAAATATTGCGTCAACCACCTTGGACATAAAAGTTTCATACATTAATTCATTTAAGGAGTGGATTTTTTTTGACAACACATTTTATGAGTCAAATGATGGATTTCACTCTTACCACATAGAGCCCCGTGAAATATCAACGTATCAGAGGGGACTCAATATGAAGAAATAAGAATGAATTAATATTTATTTGTAACACATTAAAACTTGGTGCTATGAAATTGCGATTACTGGTTAAAATCCAAAGTAAATGTGTTAAGTATGTAGACATAAAAGTTACTTCACAAGGTCCAAAGAGGTCAAAAGTGGCAGTGGATCAGGGATCAATGCTAGGGCCTTCTACATTTGTCTTCCTATATATTTTTTTATTTAAATCTCCCCCAATATGAGGAACGTCTAACCAGATAAATTGAATTGAATGTTGGAAATGGGTTTTAAATGGGGCTTCTTTAAGAGAAGGAAATGGACATCAATGAATGAAAGGACTACGACAATTAAATGTGCTTATAAGTAGTCACACGAGAATCAGTTCCATAGCAGACATTTGTGTTATTTTTGGGGCAGCTGTTATAATTTGGCTGTGTTCAATCATAGCTTTAATTGTACATAACACCAAGTGTGCTTTATTCAACCTCAAGGTAGATGCCTCAACTTACAGACATATAAATTAGAACATGTGCCTTTTGTTTTTTCTTCTTTATCAGTGAATTTCAGTCATATCACTCTTTACAGTCTAATGTATTCACTTTGAAAAAAGTGCTTGTTCTTAATGATCAATGTAGATTTCTTTGTCTCATGAAAAATCCCAGTTTACACACTTATTTTAAACAAAAGAAAGCAGTTTTATTGTAATTATGACATGCACTGAAGGTGTTATTTTTAACATGAATTGCTTATCAACTTGATTACAATTATCCTTAGCTCAGTTGTATGCACAGCTGCACTGAAATGTGTTGGCGCTGCAGATTGATTGCCATGCGTAATGTGAGCACAATTTGCCTTTTTCTCCTTTACACCCTCTTATCACCCTCTTGTCTCCTGCGACACCAACTTGTCTGCTTTCGCGAGGTTTTTACATGCAGCGAATCAGCCTCCCGCCACGGGCAATGAATGAGTGTGAGTTTTCTCTCCACTCAGAATGCGTGCAGCGGGGCCTGATCCATCATCTAGAGATAAGACATGGCCTATTAATTTCACACAAACTGCAAAGTTCTTCGAAAAAAAAACTGTGAAAATGATGT